GCTGACAGAAAAGTTATCGTAAAGGACCCACTTCTCATTTAAAAAAAAAAAAAAACTTCCAGAGAGAAAATACTTAATTTTTCTGACTGAGAGAGTAAGAAGAGAGAAATGTTAAGATGTGCAGATTTTGTTATTCTGGCCTCTACAGATGACCCTGTTAAAAAAAATCACCTGATTTTTATTTAAAACTGACTAAAGACTCTAAACGACAAAATCTAAACATTAAATGTCACAGATAACTCAGTCCTGCTGTCTCAGTCATCACCAAACTCCATTCAACTTTCACCTCTTTTTATTTTCTTCTTCCTGTAGATTTTTACTGCATGTCAGATAACTTGGGGTCCCTGGTCAAAAAGGAGGTCTGAGGGWTTATTTATGTTTGGTTGGAGAGAAAGATGAAGCTGATGGCTGATTWCTGTGTTTTTCCATTAGATTATTGTTTCCTGCAGCTACAAGGCATCATTTTTAGAAAAAAAAAGAAACTATTTATCATAACTCCACTTTTACTTTGCCTATCGACACAATTTATAAACTWCTGTATAGTTTGAAGTGTCTACATTTGACACAATTTATAACAGAGTCTCAGACAGGTTAGATTAATTGAAAACTCATGAATATTATACAAAAATTGCTAAAGCCTGTTTATCTGAACAGCACTGCCCCCCACCCCAAAAAGTGGAGGTTGAAATTACATGTAACATACTGTTTCTATCATTATTATCTTTATTACTATTATTTTGTAAATGTCATCCTGTAAAACCTGCAGCTTTAAATGGATGAAATCACATCGATTTGGAGAATGATGGATCCTCTCTGGTCTGGGAACACCTCGGGGTCCCCCAGGAGGGTCTGGATAGTGAGGAGAGGGAGGTCTGGGTTTCTCTCCTGGAACTGTTGCCCCCTTATCTGACTACAGCTGAGGGGCAGAAGATACAATTCTACAGTAGTGGGCAGCACTAATCTAAAAAATAGTTGCACTAATCCTAAAGCACTAACGTTTATATTTAGGTCCCCTAATTCTAAAGCACTAACTTTAATATTTAGGTCCCCTAATTCTAAAGCACTAACTTTAATATTTAGGTCCCCTAATTCTAAAGCACTAACTTTAATACTTAGGTCCCCTAATTCTAAAGTACTCATTTAAATATTTAGGTCCCCTAATTCTAAAGTACTAACTTTAATATTTAGGTCCTCTAATCCTAAAGCACTAACTTTAATATTTAGGTCCCCTAATGCTAAAGCACTAACTTTAATATTTAGGTCGCCTAATTCTAAAGCACTAACTTTAATGTTTAGGTCCTCAAATTCTAAAGCACTAACTTTAATATTTAGGTCGCCTAATTCTAAAGCTCTAACTTTAATATTTAGGTCCTCTAATCCTAAAGCACTAACTTTAATATTTAGGTCCTCTAATTCTAAAGCACTAACATTTAAAACTTTAGCTAAAGCTAATCCTAAAGCACTAACTTTAATATTTAGGTCCACTAATCCTAAAGCACTAA